GGTAGGTTGAACCATAGACCCAAAGGTCGTCTACACTAAAATAGTTGAGATGCTGGAACTGCCTTTAGTATACCATAAAAGGCATCAAAGAGACTAGCATGTGAGAGTGAATTTATAATGTAAGAACTGCTCACTCACCCAATGAGGGTACAGGGTGACAAAGGTCCTCTGCTTGTCCAAATTTTAGTCAGGCTTTGAAACTTCACATAGGCCCATCTGTGTGCTTCCTTGTAAAATTCAGTTTTAGAATAGAACCCTGCTAAGTAACTTTAGCAAGAACCCCCCATGTTCAATATCTGATCATCCTCATATCTGATCAGGGCTTCATCCTCCACCATCCCCCAGGTGATGTCGCAGCACCCCAGCCTGTTTTCAGCAAGAATCCTGTTAGGTCAGGTTAGCCAGAATCCTTCCTTACCTTGAAGTTTCCTCTTAGTAATTTTCAGTCCACTGACCCCCACCCTGCTCCTTGGCAATACATTCCCACTTACCCATGCTGTATTCAAGTTGAGTCCAGTCTCTCTCCGTCACTGTAAAATGCTATTGCAGTGGTCCCTATACCTATTCTGATAACTGAAAAAAGTCAGCCTTACCATCCTTGAACAAGTATCATTGAAAAATCTTTTCTTTAACAAGAGAACACACTTTCTTTTCTATTTATTATTATTTTTTAAAGTCAGGGCTCAGGCTGGAGTGATAATAGCACACCATAGCCTCAAACTCCTGGGCTCAAGGGACCCTTCTGCCTCAGCCTCCTGAGTAGCTGGGACTACAGGCATGCATCATCACACTTGGCTAATTTTAAATTTTTTTTATAGAGGTGAGCGAGGTCTTGCTATGTTGCCCAACCTGGCCTCAAACTCCCAAGCTCAAGCAATCCTCCTACCTTGGCTACCCAAAGTGCTGGGATTATAGGTGTGAGCCAACACATCTAGCCAGGACACACTTTCTGTCATGACTGTGAGAAATAAATTTGTGAGGGAGTTTCAATATTTTTAAAGAGCTCTGTGGTTGCTCTACTCTATAGGTCCAAAATTACAGTGGGAAGTGCTGCCTCTCAACTGGGATCATTAAGTGCAAGGAGAGTAATTAGATCCCAGGATGGCAGGAGTCAAGTGGCAGCATTTAACCACCAAAGACAAGGTGAACATGGTTACTGTAATGGACAGTAGAGTCAAAACAGTAGTTAGAAAGCCTGATTTACAGAGATTTATGGCATTGGCTAACTGGTCATAGTATCCATAGAAGTAAAATAGATGGAAAGCCTACCAAATTCTTATTTGTTCTGTATAAACAGAAGACTCAAATGAATAAAAGTCTAACTCAAATCCAAAAAATGGAGTCACAGCTCCTGAATCAATTCCAAGATCTGGGCCAGTTTGCAGACCCATTGCTCCTTAAATAATGAGGAAGCTTTGTCCCCACGGCACTACCAAAATTTCCTACTGTTCATTTTTCTCTCAGCCTTACCCAAAAGGACCTAATATCACTTTACCAAGATAACTGACTGTGCTTTTGGGGAAAAGGGAATAATCAGACTTTGGGGAGAGTACTGGACATTGGTTCTGAACTCAGACTCAGAAAACCCCAGGAAAACTGATACATCACTCTGGTCCACAAGTGAGAGTAGGGGCTTATGGAGGTCAGGTGATCAATGGAGTTTTAGTTCAGGTGTGTCTTACAGTGAGTCCAGTCTGATTATCTCTCTAGCTGCAAAATTAATAATTGGAATAGACATACTCAACAATGGCAGAGTCCCTACACTGGTTTCCTGACCTGAGAAGTGATGGCAATGATGGTAGGGAATACCAAGTGGAAGCCACTTAACTGCCTCTATCTAGAAAAACAGCACACCAAAAACAATATTGCATTCTTGTAGGGCTTGCAGAGATTAGTACCACCATCAAGGACTTGAAGGAAGCAGAGGTGGTGCTTTTCATCATATACCCCTTTGACTCCTGTACTTAGCCTGTGAAGAAAACAGATAGATCTTAGAGAATGAGAGTAAATTACTGAAAACTTAATCAGAAGGGGACATCAATTTCAGCTGCTGTTCCAAATGTGGCTTCATAGCTTGTGTAAATTAACACATCCCCTGGTACCTGGTATGCACTTATTGATCTAGAAGATACTTTTTCCCTGATATCTGTTAGTAGAGACCACCAGAAACAGTTTGGTCTCAGGTGGTAAGCCCGCAATACACCGTCATTGTCTTACCTCAGGTGTATGCCAACTCTCCAGCCCTATGTCATAATTTAATCTGAACAGATCTTAATTGCCTTTCCCTTATTTAAGATATCAATCACCGCTGGTCCATTACATTGATGACATAATGCTGATTGGAACTAGTAAGAAGTAGCAACTATTCTAGACTTTGTTGCTAAGACATTTGCATGTCAGAGGTGGAAAATAAATCCTACAAAAATTCAAGGGCCTTTCACTTCAGTGTAAGTTCTAGGAGTCTAGTGGTTGAGATATCCCTTCTAAAGTGAAGATATCCCTTCTCAAGTGTTACATCTGCCCCTTGTACAACCAAAAAAGAGAGGCATAATACCGTTAGGCCCTCTTTGGATTTTAGAGGTAACATGCAACATACTCCTCATTGGAGTGTGTTACTCTATTTACCGAGTGATCCAAAAAGCTGCTAGTTTTAAGCCCAGGATAAGAGCAGGCTCTGCAACAGATCCAGGCTGCTGTGCAAGCTGCTCTCCCACTTGGGCTTTATGTCCCAGGAGATCCAATGGTGCTTGAAGTGTCAATGGCAGATAGAGATGCTATGTGAAGCCACTGGCAGGCCTCAACAGGCAAATCACAGAGTGGACCCTATGACTTGGAAGCATGCCATCTTCTGCTGGTAACTACTGTGCTTTTGAGAAGCAGTTTGGCCTGCATCTGGAGCTTAGTAGAGACTACTCAATCATGGGCCACTCAGCTGCCCTGCAACCTAAGTATTGTCTGACCACCAAGCCATGCAGTTAGGCAGGCAGAACAGCACGCAACATCAGATGAAGTGGAATACATCTGGTCTTGCACATCCATGGGTTTTGCATCTGTGAACCCTTGCAGTTCAAACTGTGTGGGATGCAACCAACTGGAGAGAAATTTTCTTTTAAACAAAGGATAGTAGTATCTGTGCTAAATATGTACAGACTTCTTTATCTTGTCACTATTCCCTAAAAAAATACAGCGTAACAACTACTTACATAACACTTACAATGTGCTAGGCATTATAAGGAATCCAGAGATAAAAGTATAAGGGAGAATGTGTGTAGGCTGTATGTAAATACTACACCATTTTATATGGGGAACTTGAGCATTGGTGGATTTTGGTAACTGCAGGGGATCGTGGAGCCAATCCCCCATGAATATCAAGGGATGACTGTATGTGTGATGGGGCATGGGGAGGCCCTGAAGGCACAGGTGTTACAGGAACAAGTGGTCCCGACACTGACAGTCCTCAATCCTGCTACATCATGTTTTCTTTCCCAGCCCACACCTATGGGAGTTCTATCATCATTTGGCTGAGGAAGAGAAAACTCGGGCCTGATTTATAGATGGTTCTGTACCAGGTGCCAATCAGCGGTGGACACTGTGGCATTACAGCCCCTCTCTGAGACATCCCTGAAGAACAGAGGTGAAGGAAAACAAAACTTTCAGCAGTGTACTTGCCTGTTCATTGTCCTTGGGAGAAGAAATAACCAGGTGTATGATTATATACCACTTAGTGGGCTACAGTCCATTTGGCTGGGTAGCCATGGACTTGTCATGAACATGATTGCAAATTGGTGATAAAGTGGTCTGGGGAATGCATATCTAACAGACCTCTCCAGGTTAAAAAAAAAAAAAGGTGAAGATATTTGTGTACCATGTGAATTCTCACGAAGGGGTGACCTTGGCAAAGGAGGATTTTAATGACTGAATGAATAGGAATTCCGATCAGCCTCTTTCCCCAGCCACCCTGGGGCCCATGAACAAAGTGGCCATGGTGGCAAGGTGGAGGTTATGCATGGGCTCAGCAACATGAGAATGTAAGCTCCAAGGGAGGGATTTAAAATTCAGTGACTATTTGCTTCACTCTTGTGTCCCCCGAGCCCAGCACAGTGCTACAGTGCTGTTGCATAGGAGCCCAATAAATAGAGTTGACCGTTGAACAACGTGAGTTTGAACAGAGGGTCTACTTATACACAGAATTTCTTCCACCTCTGCAACCCGAGACAGCAAGTACAACCCTGCTTCTTCCTCCTCCTCAGCCTATTCAATATGCAGATGAGTGATAAAGACCTTTATGATGATCCACTTTCACTTAGTAATTTATATTCCTTATGATTTTTTAATGATATTTTTTCTCTAGCTTATTTTAAGAATGTAGTATTGTATAATACATACACAAAGCATGTATTGACTGGCTGTTTATGTTATCAGCAAGTCTTCCAGCCAACAGTAGGCTATCAGTAGAAAAGTTTTGGAGGAATTAAAGTTATATGCGGATATTTGGCTGCACAGGGATTGGTGTCCCAACCTCTGCGTTCAAGGATCAACTGTATCTGAATGAATGAATACACTGCAGAAAGAGAACATGGTGAAGCTTAGTAATAGTTTTACTTACTAACTTACTTAAAAATAATGAACATTTGTGAAATTGTTTACAATTGAGATATACATACAAACAAGTCACGTGCCACATGAGGTTTTGGTCAGTGACTACTGCAGATACTATAGTGGTCCCATAAAATTGTGATACTATAGTTTTACCGCACTTTTCTCTGTTCAGATATACAAATACCACTGTGTTACAACTGTCTATGGTATTCAGCACAGTGACATGCTGCACAAGTGTGCAGCCTAGGAGCAACAGGCTGCAGCATACAGCCTAGGTGTGTAACAGGCTACACCATCTATGTTTGTCAGTGCACTCTGTGATGTTCGTGTCACGATGAAATCACCAGAGACAAATTTCTCAGAATGTATCCCCATCATCAAGCAACACACGACTGTACATACACATTTACTAATATTTATTTTTAATACAGAGAAGTTTTTTCTTTGCTTTTTAGAATTTTGTATCAGTTAAAAGGGAAATAAATTTAGAAAACACAGTTTTGACTTTCGCAGGCAAAACACACACGTGACACACATGTAGGGCTGAGGGGATGTTTCCCAATTACTGAGTCCATTGCCTCTAGTATGATGCCCAAATGTCATAACTACACTCCCATATCAGCAGACTCCTCCCTCTTAATATGCTGAATCATTTCTATCTCACCCTTCCTTATTTCCTTTGCAATTTAAGTAGGAAAACAAACAACTTAAATGTTTGAGTATAGGAAATATTGGTTAAGTTTATGCTTCAGACTAGATTTTTCAAGTCTACTGGCTTGTTTGAAAAATGCTTTTAGATAACACACAAGGTTTCTAACTTTTCACAAGTTTAAAATATTTCAAAGGTCTTTGAAAATTATAAAATCTTGATTTTAGCTTTCTGAGGGGTGTTGTTTTGACAGATTTGAAATTTCATTATTTGATTAAAAAGCCATCGCTCTTTCATTCAATTTAGTGCTTAGATGTTTCCTTCAAGCCTTGGGTTGTTGTTCTAGAAATCTGTGGAGGATATTGACTCAGCCTGCTGCTGTAAAGACAAAGGAATCCTTTCTCAGAGAAAACTCAGACTGAATCTGCTAGGTTGGATTTTTCAGATGGCTATGGACACAGGCTATGGAAGGGTTTTTGGGATATACAGTCCCACATGCCCTGTATCTCCCATTGTCTTCACAATGGATCACCTCTCAATTAAATTTCACCAGCTCGTCCCACGTTTTCTTATTTGACTGGAAACATGGTATTTTTAAACACACACGGGGCTCTCCATTAGCCTGCAGAATGTGGGTATATCTTTACTATGTTTTCCTGCTCATAAAATTACATGCTTTCCCCTAAACAAGTTAAAGAAAATAATTGCCCATAATTCACCCACAAGTTTGGTGTACTTTCTTCCAGTATTTTAAATATGCAAAGATAGTTTTATTTGTTTTATTTGTATTTACTACCCATGTGACTATATGCTTAGCCTTTTCTTCCCCCGTTTCGAGTTTATTTTTAATTCAGGGATTAGGTAGCCACAGTCTGGCCTACTGACTTCTGACCTTTCACTTGTGATCTCTTATCCATCTTCAACCAGGGGCCACTTTCTGTAGCCCAGCCTGATCTCTTAGGGGCCCTGAACCTACTTTCTAGCTATTGCCAACTGCCTGAGATTTGTTAACCACATCAGTAAATTTATTTTTGCTAACATTAGTTAACAAAGAAGCTTTTCTAGAAGAGCTAGGTGGAATATGTCATCAGAGACTTAGAATGAAAACAAAATAGATGTGGTAATCTACTGGCACCTGATTCTTCCTCAGACTGCAAGGTGGTCACCAGCAATTCAGAGAGAGGCTCCAATAACAAGCAACTTCACTTTCTGTCACAGACCCTAACCATCCTGAAGTTATGTGTCAAAGGAAGAAGATATCTCCCTTCCTCCTATCTAAAACCTACGAATCTGTGCCTATTCACTTTTCTAAAAAGTCAACTGCTTTTTCCTTTACTAAAAAAAAAATTTAGGTTTGTCCTTCCAAATAGTTTGTCAAATTTTAGTAGCTTCAAGAGTTGGGTCACACACAGTTCTGGGCAGCTGATATAAAATCTGTATTTTTATAACTAGAAGAGCCAGGAAGCCACCCAGTGTCTTTCTCCTAATATATCATGTAGTTATTAACTTGGAGTTATTATTTCAGAGCTCAATTGTATTTCCTGACTACACAAAAAGCCGATGCATTAAAAATAGAAAAGGATTACCTTTACATATGGATTAAAATTTATTTTAAACTGTTTTGTATATCTTTTCAAAAAATGAAAATTCAGGCCAGGTGCAGTGGCTCATATCTGTAATCCTAGCACTTCGGGAGGCCAAAGTGGGTGGATCACCTGATGTCAGGAGTTCAAGACCAGCCTGGCCATCATGGTGAAACCCCATCTTTAAAAAAAAAAAAAAAAAAAAAATTCAAAAGTTTTAGAATTAAGTAATGAGTCTTCAACATCATAAAGCTGTGTATAACAGTAATTAAAGTAGTGGTAACATTTTACCCTTGTAAAAGTCTCACAGAATTCAAATCACAACTTGGATCCTCAATGATTCAAGTGGTTCATCTTACACAATAAGCGTTTGGTCAGTTTCAAGATAAAATTCCCCTGACATGCTGTCCTTAAGTCCTTCTTCCTCACCATCCATCAAGTTCACACAATGGGGTAGCTGGCTGCTGTGGCAATTCCACAGTGGTTGTTCCTGTCTTTGGCGATTTTTATATAGCCATTCGAGCCCCATTCTGGACCCCAGCTGAAAGAGGAGCAGGTTTTCCATTTTATACAAGGAATCAAAAGAAAATTAGCTCCATTAATAATAATAGCTAATACTTAAACAGTGCTTCCCATGTGTCAGGCACTATTCTAAGTCATGTTAATATCCATTTATAAATGTATTGAGGCTGGGCATGGTGGCTCACCCCTGCAACCCCAGAATTTTAGGAGGCCAAGGCGGTCAGATCACTTGAGGTCACGAGTTTGAGACCAGAGGGGCCAATCTGGTGAAATCTAGGCTCGATTAAAAAAACAAAAATCAGCCAGGTGCAGTGGCTCACACTTGTAATCCCAGCACTTTGGGAGTCTGAGGCAGGTGGATCACCTGAGGTCAGGAATTCAAGACCAGCTTGACCAACATGGTGAAACCCAGCCTCTACTAAATTAAAAAAAAAAAGGTAGCTGGGCATGGTGGTGCATACCTGTAATCCTAGCTATGTGGGAGGCTGAGGCAGGAGAATAATCACTTGAACCCTGGAGGCAAAGGCTCCAGTGAGCCAAGATTGTACCACTGCCCTCCAGCCTGGGCAACAAGAGCAAAACTCTGCGTGTCTCAAAAGAAAACAAACAAATCCCACAGAAATTGCTGTGTGTGGTGGCGCATGCGTATAGTCCCAGCCACTTGGAAGGCTGAGGCAGGAAAATCCCTTGAACCCAGGAGGTGAAGGCTATAGTGAGCCAAGATCTGCCACTGTACTCTAGCCTGGGTGACAGAGCAAGACTTCATCTCAAAATAAAACTGGCTGGGCATGGTGGCTCATATATGTAATCCCAGCACTTTGGGAGGCGAAGGAGGGTGGATCCCATGAGGTCAGGAGTTTGACAGCGGCCTGGCCTACGTGGTGAAACTCCATCTCTACTAAAAAATACAAAAAAAATTAGCCGGATATGGTGGCGTGTCCCTGTAGTCCCAGCTACAGGCAGGAGAATTGCTTGAACCCGGGAGGCAGAGATTGCAGTGAGCTGAGATCGTGCCACTGCACTCCAGCCTGGGTGACAGAGCAAGACTCCATCTCAAATAAATATATAAATGTACTGATCATTGTGGGTCTTTAACTTTTTAAGATACTGAGGCAGAACTGGAATTCCAATGTAGCAGTCTGTCTCCACATGCTACCTTATATCATATCTCAATTAAAGAATGCTAATTGTGAGAAAATGGATTCTGACAACCTTCAAAGCCTGAGAGCTGGGGAGTGAAATTTGATGACGGGGCATCCAATGACAACGGAAGGATGCACAGACCACTGGATTCCCGGATGATCTTTCAGACTTAACAAAGAACCAGCAGAGGCAGATGTTTCTGCTTACTATTCCTTGTTGAAAACTTAGAGACAGATAAAAGCTATCAGCTCTCAAACCTAGAGGTCCACAGTCCTTTGTCTGAAACCCTGGAGGCCTAATGTGCTTCAGAATTATAAAAATTTTTAAAACTTAGTAATAAAATATTACCAATACATAGTAATAACCCCAAAAAGCTAAACATTAATATTTCTGTGTTCACTCTAAGTAGAAGAAAGACTTCTGGGATCTCAAAATTGAGCTTTTGTGAACTTGTATCCAAATACTGATTTGAAACAAAAATTCCCTTTTCAATTTAAAATATAATACTTTGAGTTTTATACCTGTTTTTGATGAGCCAATAGTTGTTGTTGTTTGAATTTGTTCCTTCAAAACCGTAGCCAACCACCAGAACACCATGATCTAGGTTTTTGCTGCTGCAGTCTTGTTCAAAATAAATGCCTGGAAGAGTAAAAATCAATGCTGGGGTGAGAAGCTCCCAATGACATGTGACAATAACTCATCCTACCACCCACTGTAAGGGAGGCATCTCTAAATTCAATGAAATGTCATAGACAAATATTAAATAAGGACCCAAATAATATTGGTCAGAATACTTTAATGGCTGATGAAGGAAAAAAGTCAACCTCATCTAACTAGAAAGCAACTAACTTCAACTAATGTTCCAGATATTTTCTACCTAAAGAAAAAGAAAACCCAAAAGATAAAACTTATTGTTTACAGCTAAGGTGGTTTAGATACTTATCTCTGAGCACAAATACCAATCAGCATAATTCCTTTCTACTCCTAGGATGTCAGTCTAAAACAATACCAAAATAAACAAACAAAAACTTGAAGGGGGTTCTTTGTAGTCCTAATTACAGTAGTAAAAAACTTTGAGAAAAGCAGGCCCAGCAACTGGAAAACCGTTTAGAAAATTAGGTTGTCTCTATATAATTACATAGTTATTTAATAATATTTATGAAAACTTTAACATAACTAAACATTTCTCATGTCAAATGGAGACATCACTATGTTAAATGCACTCTCTCAAAATACTACATTCCTGCAAAGCAGGATTTCATATCAAAGAATCAATCATGGTAGCGTTGCCCAATTCTGCTTAAATTTCTATAATAAAATGACAAACACTTACCTGATTTGTAGAACTGGAAGGACGAATGGCTTGCATCAACAGCAACAGAGATGGGCCCCACAGTTGCAACTGCCTTCATTAGTTCCTTCTCATGAGCAGGGATCACCACGAAGCCGGTGTCATTAGCAACAGAATTCTCAGGTTTGTACTTACAGCTTCCATCCTTTAAAAGTTAAAGGGGGAGAGACTTGATCACTACCATCTACCTCCTGGGGAACATCAGTTCTAGAACCAAAACATTCTGATTTGCAACTTAGGATTTCCAAATCAACACCCTTATAAATCATCCCAGGAAACAAAACACTAATTGTTGATCTGAAACTGAAAAATTAGTTGACATTTCTTCCATGCGAACCCCGAGGTCAATCTGTCCATAAAAAAATTCTCACAATTGATAAAGTTCTATTATATATAGACTGGTTTGCTTATTCTTCATGTTATGTGGAAGCAGGAACAGCTATGTGTTAACCATCTAATATTAGCTAGGTGTTAACCATTAGCTCTTGACCATCTAATCAGAGAACTGTGGAAAAGCTAATAATTTATAATGACAATACTCACAGTTTGCAGATGTAGTAGATTCTACCATCTAAAATGTGAATTCTGAAAAAAATATCTGTTATCTCTGAAAGGATTCCACTTTCCAAAAGCAGAGAGTGAATAACAAGATAAGGACCTCCACTTACCTTTGCTACATATGGATAGGATGCCTCAGAGTCCAGGCCTCCATTCTCCTTCACATACTGGAAGGCGTTATTCATGAAGCCACCGTTGCAGCCCTGATTGCCTTGAGGATGTGAACAGTCCACCAGATTCTGCTCGCTCAGTGAGACAAGTTTCCCTGTTTTCCGGAACATCTGTCCTTCAAGAGCACCAGTAGCACTAAATGCCCAACAAGAACCACACTGTTTCTAAACAGGGAATAAAAAAGCCGTCAGTTTACAAGACCAATACAAAAACGGACAGTAGCCCATATATCTGAATTATCTTTAAAAACACCCATCACCATATGTTGTGCCGCCATCTACCAAAGCAACGATGCCAATTTTCTTCTTGGCTTTCCTGTGGAGACCGGAGGTCTGAATCTGACGCTGTCTCACCTGATTCTTCACTGGAGTCACGTAGCCTTTCTTTCTCCAATCCACAGATTTAGGGAGATTAAGAAGCAGAGGCCCACGGAACACTTTTCTGTTCTTATGTTTCTGGTTTCGAAAGCAAACCATCACCTGCCTGAATTCTTCATTGGTCTTCAAGGAGAAGTAAATAAAATGTTAAAAGCAAGACTATTTTGGTGAGGAATCGAGGAGAAGTGGCACAGAGTTCAGCAATCCTCGCCACACTCACCATGTCACCAAAAGCATTCATGGCCATTGTGAAGCCATGTTTCCCTTGGCTGTATTCCCCATTGTGCAGTTCAATCATTTTCATATTCTTTTCCCACACGGCTCTCCTCCATCCTTCTTCATTCTGGAGACAAACATAAAGCTGATGGACATCATGTCTACTTACCCAACCCATGCTCACTGAGCCGATCTGTGGGCAGAAATGGAAGAGAAATCATGGCCAGGGATGGCTTGATACTTCAGCTGTTCTCTAAGCCGAGACACAATGGAGATATATGCCCATACTGCACTCATAACGGGTGCTGTTAGGTTATTGCCTGGTAAGGTTTGGTCTCTAGAAGCTACTCTCTGGCTGTCAACTCCGAACAGCAAGGACCATTCTCTCCCGAGTCCCTCTGGACAGTTTCAGATGTTACCAACCGTGCCGTATAACCTCCTGTGTGTTGCCTTCCACTGATACCACTGTGTATCTAAATTTTGGTCAAATTTTGGAGCAGCGGAGGCTATTCCCAAGCAAAAGGCAGCCAGGACGAGTGAAAGATTCATGTTTCAAAAACCTAGAAAAGGAAAAGAAATGAGTAGCTGATTAGACGAGTCCTAAAAAGCCATCTTACAGCCCCAGTGGAATAAAAATATTTCAATTATTCTCCTTAGCATCTCCCCAAGGACTGTGGAAGAGGCTGCGAGAAACAGGCCAAGTCAAGGTATTTGATGGGCCCACCAAAATGGAAAGCAGCCCACACAGAGTTCGAGGAGTTGAAACAGCATATGCGATGATAATTTAGGGTATCAGATATGAGAAGGGTGTGAAGATACCTGACGGGTGAGAAGTTTAAGGCAACAACTAGGAAACTAGGAAACAGTTGGTCCAGGTTTTGCACCAATTGTACTGAGGTCATCCAGGCAAAACGTCACTAATGAGGACACACCATTCCAAGTAAGGGCAAGGGGATCCCCAAGGAACACCACCTCACACGTTCTTGGCTGATACACAGCAGGAGATGAGCGAGGTCTTCCAATCTCTCCTCCTGGAATAAAACCTTTCTGGAATGCCTTTCCAGGAGACCCGCTGCTCCACCGTCCCACGCTTGGGTCTGTGCTACTAACATCCCCATTTACTCCCCTAAACACCGACAGGGTCACAAGGCCGCGCCGTTGGAAATCAGGGGCCCCAGGGCCAGGGCCCGGACCCGGGCAGGAAACTCACGGGGCTCTGCAGCAGGCCACCAGTGGGCGCTACGGGCGGGTTAGGGCCGGGCGGTGGGTGCGCCGCCTGCTCCCGCCCTCCGCACGCGCCCGCCACGCCCTGAGGATGTTTGCGGTGGCGCAGGGAGCTGGGGCTCCGCGGCCGGGCTGCCGAGGTGAAGCCCGCAGGGTGACTGACCTGCACCGCCCGGGCCCTCCCTGGGGTCTCCAACCGCCCTCCCCGGTTCCCAACTTCGAGGACGGCAGAGCTCGGGGCAGAAGCTCTCACTTCCAGGGGTCGCGCCCGACTCCTCTACCTTGTCCCTCTAGGGGGTTCCCTCCTCCAGTCCCCGTTCGCCCTGACCCTCGGTCTGGTCGGGGGCGCTCACCAGCAGCCGTCGGAGATGCGCAGGCGCTCTCCGCAGACAATTCTTGAGTTTACAGCAGCTGGCGGTTCTGGACCAGGTGAGCCCCGCTGGGGATTTAAGTTTCCAGGCGGCCTCCCCCGCCCCCACCTCCTGCCCGCGCTGCGATTGGCTGCGCCGGCCATTGGCCGGGCCCCTGGCGCTCTGAGCCCGCACGTGACACCGCTCAGTCCTAGCCTGTCTCAGGTCTCGGCGCGTCTGCCTCAATGGACCCGGGGTGCGGGGAGTGGAGCCAGGCGCCCCGGGGCTGCGCGGAGGAGGGGCAGGCGCCTCCCGGGCGGGCTCAGATCTACTGAGTATTCCGATTTACTGCACTGGGCGGGTGGTTCCTGGAAAGAAGTTTACAGCGAGCCCTGTGTGGCTTTTCAGCCTAATCCTACTTTTCCTTAGCCCTTGAGTTTTTGGTGAAAGTCTGCAGGGCCCGGAGCCAGGGTGCTTAGTCCAGTGGCTCCTGTTTACGGCGAAGGTGGGGCCGAGTGGAAGAAGTCACAGCTCCCGGCAGAAGCATTACCTCCCTCCTAAGAGCGGGTGCAGCAGGGCTTTAGAAGAGTTTGGTAGGGAAAGGCATCCCCAAAGAACGGGACGGGATGGTCGAGACGGCACCCCAGGAGGGAGGGGATTGGATGGTAGGGTGTCCAGGGACAGCGGGGCGTTTGGTCGTGCATCCTTTCCTGTCTCTTGCATTCAGGGATTCTTCCTTCTCCCATGGCTTTCAATTAAAAAAAAAAAAAATTACAGAAATATTTGGTTAATAAAAAGGAGAAAAGCGTTGAGAATGGTGAAATTGTGTTTTTGTAGAGATGGAGTCTGGCTATGTGTTACCTTAGGCAACTCTTGAATTCCTGGCCTAAAGCAATCCTCCCTTCCTGGCCTCCCGAAAGTGCTGGGATTACAGGTGTGAGCCACCACGGCCAGCCTGAGAGTGGTGGAAACTGCTTTTACTTCCCTACTGTCTGCTTATGGGTTACAACGTCTTCCTCAGTATTCAAAACGTGCTTCTTCTGAGATTTAATAAATTTACTTTAAAATTATTTAATATCAGGGTTGAGGTGAAGCAGTTTGAGGAACTGCTCTTTATGGAGAAATATATATAGCTAAAGATTTAAGGAAATCATTAATAATTCAGAAACGTTTCTTTTTAAAGTTATATAAAAAACATCCATTATGGAAAGAAAGTAATGTTTTAGAAAACAAACATCCCAGTCAGTTGCGCTGGCTTATGCCTGTAATCCCAGCACTCTGGGAGGCCGAGGGGAGTAGATCACCTGAAGTCAGGAGTTCAAGACCAGCCTGGCCAACATGGTGAAAACTTATCTCTACTAAAAATACAAAAAAATTAGCTTGGCATGGTGGCAGGTGCCTCTAACCCCAGCTACTTCTGGAGGCTGAGGCAGGAGAATTGCTTGAACTTGGGAGGTGCAGGTTACAGTGAACCGAGATCACACCATTGCACTCCAGCCTGGGTGACAAGAGCAAATGTCTGTCTCAAAATAAATAAATAAAAACATCTCTTGTCCCCTCTCCATAACTCTTTTCTAGGCATATCTTTTTTTTTTTTTTTTACAAAAATGAAGTTATAATGCATATTGATTAATAAACTTTTTTGTTTTTTTAGACGGAGTCTCGCTCTGTTGCACAGACTGGAGTGCAAAGGTGTGATCTCAGCTCACTACAACCTCCACCTCCCAGGTTCAAGAGATCCTCCTGCTTCAGCGTCCCCTACAGGTATGCGCCACCACGACTGGCTAATTTTTGTATTTTTAGTAGAGACGGAGTTTCACCATGTTGGCCAGAATGGTCTCGTTCTCCTGACCTCATGATCCACCTGCCTCAGCCTGCTGGGATTACAGGCGTGAGCCAAGGCGCCCAGCCGATTAAACTCTTAAAGATTAAAGTGAATAATATCCATAGTTTTTATTTGTTAATTTGAAAATTTGTTAAATCAACTTTAGCCTAAAGCTGCTTCCCTATGTTATTTAAATTTGGCCTAAAGCTTTCTCTGTATTTAGCGAGCTGTAACCTAGATGGAGGTGTAAACAGACTGTAGTCTACTCTTGTGCCCATCCACGAGTTTCCATAAGTCAGAGGTTCAGCGAGTTTCAGCTGTTCACACCACATTGAAATAAGGCAAACTTGGAGCTGTAACCAACCCTGCAGTTTCTGTGCTTCACTTTCCCTTTCCTGTCTGTAAATCTTCCCCCACAGGCAGCACTGGATTCTCTCTGAGCCATAGGAGACTGCCAGATTCACAAATTGTTCTGTGCTCCATTAAATTCTCTTAAATTTAATTTGGCTGTGGAATTTATTTTTACAAATTAAAAACAAACTGACAACTTTTCAGAAGCACAATCAGGCAAATACATGTTTTAAAAAATCAACTTGTTAATAGTTATACGTACTTTCTTTAAAAAATTGCAGCTTTTTCTGTGTTGCTTGTGCTGGAAAAAGAAAAGAAAAGAAAAAAAAAATGCAGCTTTTCCCTCTCAAACAACTAGGGGCCAAAGCTCTCAGGTGGTTATATACAAAATATAAAAGTATATTGTATTGCAGACCAAGATAGATGGATCTCCTGAGCCTAGGAGTTTGAGAGCAGACTGGGCAACATGGTGAAATCCTACCTCTACCAAAAATACAAACAAACAAAAAAAATTTAGCCAGGCATGGTGACCCATGCCTGTAGTCCCAGCTGCTCAGGAGACTGAGGTGGGAGGATTGCTGGAGCTCAGGAGGTGGAGGTTGTAGTGAGCTGAGCAGGGCATGCAACGCTGCACTCCAGCCTGGGTGACAGAGTGAGACACTTCATAAAAAAAAAAAAAAAAAAAAGATATTGTATTGCAAATTGCTGGAGTTTTTTTTTCTTTTTTAAAAAATTAATCATTGTGTTTAACACAATCATCATTCACACATGAAAATAAATGAAGACCACCACATAAGAACAAACAGAGGCTCTATATTCAGAACTTGATATTACAAAGGAGATAAAGACAGGGAGAGGAAAAGTTTTAGTGGCAAAAGGGGGCTGAGTTCAGGTATGTCCTCTTTGCAGAGTGTTGTCACTCTGGAGAAGCTGGAGGAGGGATAACTAGAGATGGAATATATTATGTCACTTGTTTGTGGAGTGTATTTGGGTTTTCTGGTTTGTCCTGGGTTAGAAGCAGAGGCAAAAGTAAGGAAGTTGTCAGCCGTTGAGTAAGTCCTGACTGCTCTGAGTTGGTCTCTGCAGGTATTATGCTTCATTTCTTCCGTGGGGCAGAGTTCTATTGCCATATACTCAGGCCATTGTCTGTTTGTTTACTCAGTATCACAAGAAAGCTAAGTTATTCTAACACGTGGGTTTTGCAGTTGCCCTTGGGCCACAGCTCCCTAAGACTGTAGGGTGGAGAAACCTGCCAGGGCATTCAGATCTGCACCTTAAGCAATAGTCTGACAGCAGGCCACATGGCTGTGCTGCTCTGAAGAATGGCATCCCCTTTGTTTTTTGGAATGTGAGACAAATGTAGTGACCCTTTTCATACCAAGTGTGCCCCAAATCTGAAATTATACCAGAAAAAAACATAAATGTAGAAGAAATATGGGAGAAAGCCAATAAGCAAGAGGGCGAAAGACATTATTGCTCTAACTTAGGACATCTGTTTATATCTATTTATACGTATCTGTGAAATAATGTGTTACAGAAATATGGTATTACTAGCCAGGACAGATATATTTAGATAGTTGTTTCTTTTCCTACTCTTCTATTCATATTTCTTTACAAAATAATTTTGATGACTGATAATTTTTTAAATGGTCACATTTTAGCGAAGCAACCAAACCTTGGCCATGCCTTAATAAAATGCAGTAGGCGGAACTTTCTGACTCCTATTTAAAATGCAGTATCTGTGAAAGTATATTCTCACGTGCATCTGTGTAGCTTTCTTTTAACTTACTATTAAAAGAGGATATAGGCCAGGTACGGTGACTCACGTCTGTAATCCCAACACTTTGGGAAGCTGAGGCAGGTGGATTACTTGAGGTCAGGAGTTCGAGACCAGCCTGGCCAACGTGGTAAAACCCTGTCTCTACTAAAAACAGAAAAAAATTAGCCAGGTGTGTTGGTGCATGCCTGTAGTCGCAGCTGTTGGGGAGGCTGAGGCAGGAGAATCACTTGAATCCTGAAGGCAGAGGTTGCAGTGAGCTGAGTTTGTGCCATTGCACTCCAGCCTGGGCAATGAGAGAGAGAGAGACGCTGTCTCAAAAATAAACAAACAAACAAACAAATAAATAAATAAATAAATAAATAACAGAGGATATAATTCTTTACCCAGTCTCTGAAAGGTTTAAACCATAGGGGAACTGGCAAACACAGTGTAGTGACATTCAAGGAATTATGGTGAAGCATTTTTGTATAGTAGGTAACAAGGGAACCAATTCACAAGAGAAATTGTGGAATTTCTCCCTTGCTCTACAACAGTAATCCAAAAACTCTCGCGAAATCTGAAAAATTCCTCAAACCTCACAAAGTCTTTTCAAGAAACAAGATGTATTCATTTCCTGTGTCTGCGGTAACAAATCCCCACAAACTTGAAGCCTTGAAACAGTAGTCCTTTATTCCCTCACAGTTATGGAGGCCAGAAGTCCTAAATCAGCATCACTCGGCTAAAGACCAAGTGTGATGGGGCTCCCTCTCTTCCTTCCTCCCAAGGCTCTAGGGGAGAACCTGTGCCTCACCTCTCCCAGCGCTGGTGGTTTCTCACATTTCTTGACTTGTGGCTGCATCCCTCCAATCTCTGTGACTACACTGCCATCTCTCTGTCTGTGTCTAATCTCCCTTCCTCTTGTAAGGACACCTGTGATTGCATTTAGGGCTCACCCAGGTAACCCAGAATAACCGTTCCATTTCAAAACTCTTCATGGAATTACATTTTCAAAGTCTTTGCTGTATAAGATAACAGCTTCAGGGTCCAGGAATTAAGACCTGATGTCAGTGGGGGCTATAAACTCCCTGCTACACATGGCATAAGTAAAAATCAGTTTCTTGACAAAGCTGATGAAAACTGTGTTTATTACAACTCGAGGCTGGCTTGACTAAGGGAGTTGGGCCCTACACTCCATAGCAACTTCCCA